CTACTAGTAACAAAGGACGCTACTAGGGGCTCCTGGCATCGCTACTATACTTGGAGTGTCTGAGCAACAAAGGGATAGTGGTTCTTTGAGACGACCGTGGATGGGTTGCGAAGCGATGAGAGGTGGTCTCCTTGTGCTCGGTGAACTTGTGGCTCCTGGACCGTGAAGAGCGAGAAGACTTGATCCTTCAGGCGAGAAGGGCTGAGACCAAGAGCTCTCTGGATTGAGTAGTCATCCTTTTTCCTACTAACCATGGCCTTCCACCTCATAGCGATGGCCTCCCACCTCATAGCAATGGCCTCCAAGCTAAGAGCTCTCCGGTGAATATATCCCCACAGAGAAACATGGACGCCGAGAGAAAACTAGATGAAAACAAAGAAGGAATGGAGAAGGAATGGAAGGAAGACAGAAAAAGGTCGGACAGAAAGAAAGGTCCCCAAGTCTGTAGAAATATGAACTTTGAAAAAGAAGATAAGAAATGAAGAAGAACAAGAAAAGAACGAGCAGAAAAGTACAAAATCAGAGGTTAGAGTCAAGATCGACTCTAAAACCATCCAATCAATCGAAGGTCTTAGTAGATCTCGACGATATTCGTGGAGGACGCAGACACAAGGTGTCGGGTTTCAAGGTGGTGGGGGTTAAATGGAGGATGATTGATGTGAGCCTGATCATTACCCTTTCTTCAATGGAGAGGACAGACCCCTAGCTTTGGAGCAAAACTTAGGGTCTCGGTTCTTTGAGGTTTTGAGGTGTCCAGGGCTTTGTTTTTGGCCCTGTTGGCCTGTAGGCCTTAGGGAGGTCGGGATTCTGGCAGTTTTTGAACTAGCGATGGCCTCCAACCTAAAAAGCCAGGATTTTTGAAGTGTTTTAAAACGTTGGCACTCCCTGGTGTGACTTTTTGTTGGACCATTTTCGCTGATGGCAGTCTCGCGTCTTGGTTTCCCAAAGAAGTCAGGGCACACCCATTCGAACTCCGAGGTACCCCCCCTCCCATGTTGTTGCGCTGAAGACCATTCCGGCAAGAGCGGGGGAGAGAGAGAGAGAGAGGGATGTTAACAGTAAAGCACCAACATGTACAGTGAACTGCTGCCGAAACAGGGCCTTTGAGCAATATAGCCAACAGTACAAAAGCAGCGCATACACTACAGCTACTTGGCATTTTACAAGAGAGAGAGAGAGAGAGAAAAAAAAAAAACAAAGAAAGAGTTGGTGCTAGAGACCAATCAGAAACCACTGGATACCCGAGTTTTCGATTCACCCAAAGGTCTTCGGAATGCATGTCCGAGTAACAAGGGCATTACTACTAGTAGCTAGAAGCTACTAGTAACAAGTTTCTTGTTTCTTCTCCATCTGCAACACGGTTCAGATCGATCGGAGTCCCAGGTGCGGCGGATGAGGAGCGAGGGCCTTTGGCCGGAGAAAGCGGAGGAGATTTTGCGGAGCTTCCAGGAGCAGGACCGGCTGAAAGTGGGCGTTCCGCGGGGCGAAAGCGCGAAGAAGCGAAGCGGAAACCCAAAGAACCAGACACATTGGATATTTTTAGGTGGGCTTTCCTTTTTTGATCTTTGTAGGCTGGTGCACAGTCCAAGGGCTTTGAGGACTCAAGAACTGTTCTGAGTTGACAGAGAGTTCCGAGTCACCTGAGTCACTCTTGTTTGATGAACTCTTCTCCAGGGTCCCGCTGTCTGTACCGGGAGTCGGCCCATTCGTACCTCAGAACATGGGTAGATCGATCTATATACCTGTCTTTCGTTCGGGTCATGTTCCATGTTCTTTTCGGCGCGAACTGAGATTCCAGGTATAGGTCTCCCATTTGGAGCGCCACCCTCACACAGGAACAGCTCTTCGAGCATCGGGTCTCTTTGCCCCGCTGTCGCTCTGCTAGCAGCCCCTTCAGGCTGTGCTGCATGGGTGGCCATGGCTGCTTGACCCGGGGTGAATGTAGGTAAATATGCCAGTCCCATAGAGTGTTTCGGAATATGCTAGTGTCCAACATGCGAAGCTGCAACAAATCCAACCAAGTACAGGTTCATTCACATTGGTTCCGTTGCCAGAGTTTTACCGCCCAAGGGAAAACCATCGTAAGTACCCTCACTGGTGGCTGGTTGTCACTTAGCATGTGCTTTGTACAACAGTAGTCCCCTTCCGGAAAGCGTTGGCAGCTTGGCATCGTTTTGAGCTCTCAGGTCGCGAATCCAATCCCTAGCATCAAAGCTGCTGTGGATGAAGTTGATGACTTCATCACTTGTAAGGTCACTTCATCTATTGGTTGATCACCATTTCGTCAGACCTCGGTGACCCGCCACGGCCTTCCCTGCCAGTCCTCGGAGGCCGGAGCTCGCAGTCCTCGTGCCGCGACCGACCACCGTGGCGACGAGAGAACCGCGCGCCGTCGTGGCGCCCCGCACGGCGACGCGGCGGGATGGCTTGAAGGAGCGGGATGGCACAGAAGGATCGGTCTGTTGGAGCAGGTTTCTTTGGCAGGTTGGAGGCCACCTAAATTGGGTTGAAGGCTACTGCTGCGTCGTTTCGCAGGAGAGGACCTTCCTTCTCAGCGAGAAGCCACGGAAGCATCCGCGCTGCGCCTCGGTCAACATCATGAGCTCCGTCAAAGCAACAACCGGTGTTTTTGGAGACTGGCATGGGAAAGGGAAGCAGTTCGGTTCGGTGAATGGGGCTCTCGTTTGATCGTTTTGTTATGAAAAGGTCCTAGTAGCTTCTTGTTCCAATTCTAATTAAATTCTAATTTAGATTCCAATTCTTTTTTCGAATAGCTTCTTGTTCCGAGTAGTATGGCCAGGAGCCCCTAGTAGCCTCCTTGCTCCTAGTAGCGATGCCCTTGTTCCTAGTAGCTTCTTGTTACTCGTGGCGATGGCCCTCCAGCCTACTTGCGATGGCCTCCACCTAATAGCGTCCCTGTCTAGATGTTTCAAGCGGGGTTGCGGAAATCTGTAGCTCATGGAAGTGGACCATCCCCTGTTGGAGGAGGTCATGTTGCCGCTTCCTTGATTGTTTCAGGGAGCACTTCACTTGGCCTAGAGTAACGCGTACTCTCCTCTATAGTCTATAGGCTTACTCTAACATCCTTCACCTGAGCCAAGTTCTTGAGCCACAAGGGCTACCAGCAGACGCCTGTGGTTCCTGCCTTGTCCATACCGTTTTCAGGCTCATCCCATCCACCGCGATTTTCGTCGCGCCAGGCTTTGATTCAATGCAGGTCATGCGGAGGCCTCGGTGAAGGGGTGGAGGAACCATCAGACGGTCGATCGAAAAGACTAGGGGCAATGACCCCCACAATCCTTAGGCCGCTCTTAGGTTGGAGGCCATTGCTAGTAGGAGTGGTGTTCCTTTTCCTTTGCCTAAAGAAGTCGGTCTGTTCCCTGGAAGTCTTTTTCATATAACCTGGAAATTGAATGCTTTGGAGGGCCGTACGGGCACCACCCCCCAAAAAACCTGGCAGGAGATGCAAAACAATCAGGTCATGTTCGAGATGAGACAGAATCAGACAGCTTGGGGTCTCTTACTCCCACCATTGATTTAGGTTTGACCTGTTTCACCGAACCTATTTCTCTTTGGATTTAAGAACCTTTGAATGGCTGAGTTGGGACACGATGTTGGGGCCCTCGAACACCGTGCCCCCCCTTCCGGACGAAGAGGTCATTTTTGTCGCTTGTCCTTGCGCGGCGCTGCGCATCGCTGCACCCGACGACATCGCACGGTTCGTAGGTTTCAGCTGCCGCATCGATTCGAAGGGCTCTGAGCGGCGCCGGTGACGGATGATGATGCGATGCGAAATTGAACGTCTCCCAGCGAAGGGATACGAAGGCTTCCGAGGGTTTCTGATAAGTTTTTCTTTGGCATAAAAAGAAGTCCAAAAGAGATGTGGTACAGTAAGTGAGCCTGTGAAGCCTGTGGTGGGTGTGTAAGTGAACTTGCCTCAGAATTGCAGAGAGAGCAAAGAAAGAGAAATCCAAGTCTTGCTTTCTTGACAGAACCCCGAGATGAATGAAACGCAAACGAGATGTGCGTGTCCATATGTGTTTTCTTTATGTGCGTTTCTTTTTTGCTTCGTGCATACGCTCGCAGCCCAGTTCTCACCTCAAAGGGGCTGAGACTGTTTTTCCAAGTGGATGGAGCCAGGGTGTTCCAGGTCTTTCCAGGAGCTACTAGTAGCTTCTTGTTCCTAGTAGCGATGCCCTTGTTTCTAATAGCTTCTTGCTACTACTAGTAAGGCACTTCACTTGTTCCTAGTAAGCATTCTCTTCATGTTTAACTTTTCAGGAAAGGTAATTCCTTCGAGCAGACTGAATCACATGCGGTTCCTTTCAAAGGACCTTCCGACCTTCACTTGGCTCCACCACTGACGTCCTTTGACTTTTCCCTCGGCCAAAGCCGGGGAAATCCCGACCAAAAAGGCGCGACCGCCTGGATCGTGCTTCCCAGTTGCACCGTGCTTCGCAGCGACCGGCTTCCTTTGCGGCTTCGCTGTTCTGCAGGAGTATCCCGAGCTGAACGTCACCGCTCCGCAGAACTGCCACCCGGACACGAAGAACCAAACGGATCTTCACAAACGGATGCACCAACGCGTTGCAACTGAAGTTCGGTCACCGGACTTACCCTTGCAGCTCTGAGTTCGTGGCGAACGTACACATAAATCCATGATTGATTAGAATTGACTTGAAATTGGTTGAAATCCTCGAAACCCTGGTGAGAAACCCAAAAAGACCACCCCCAAACCACAGAAGTTGGTCGCGCGTGTCGGCCCTTGTCAAGGTCAAACGGTGGCTCTGCGTGTGCCGCCCGACCGCTCGGTGGATGCGGTGGGAAACCTCGTGGAGGAGCAGAAGTGGGGTGGAAGGCTAAGAGTCATCCGACTCAGTCTCAGATGGAGACTTCTCAAGTGGCAGAAGTGGCAGGTGGTATTCCAGAGTTTGGGGCATCAATATTTCAGGATTCCTGGCCCATGGATTGTAAAGGGGTTGAATCCCGAACAACCTTCCTTGCTCAGAATTTTTAGAACAAGACGGTTACTGTTCACCAGCAAGAAAACAGTTTGGCAGACAGTCGAAGGGGACGGACCGACGAACGTTTTGATTCCCGGATCTCACTTTCGTTGAATAAGTCGAATGCGATGATCTCCTCAAGCGATTTCTGTGCTGCAGTGGGGCGGTTCGAACGGTGCAGTGGAGCTCGGCAGCATGCGTTGGGATTGATGGAGTTTATTGTTGCTTTGTTTCAGGTTCAGGTTTCAGGGTGTTCTTGACGGTTTGTTGCGAGGATTTCAAGTGTTGGAAACAGATGCGAAATCGCATGTGATCTTCACTGAGAACACCCAAAACTGTTGTATTACCTTCTATCTAATGCATTTCTTCTCAGTCACCGCTACTCCATGCAGGAGATTGCATCGGTGAAGAAAGGCCGCACAGAGGTCTCAAGCTCAGAAAACCCTCAACCATCACAAACCTTGCGGTGTAGCTCTGCATTTCCAGAAGAAGGGTGGAAGGAATTGCAGAGCTTGAGCTGTCAGAAGACCTAACTTAACTAGAATCACTAGAAGAAATCGTCAAAACCAGCTGCCCACGTGTTTTTAACCAAGTTCGTTGCAAGACTTGCCGCATGGGGGGAATAGGAACTCTGTTTCTGCAGCAGGGTGGCCCGCGTCCATCTCGATATGTCAAAAGTTGACCTGGATTGAAATGTGAATTGTTCCTCACATGAGAAAACATATCAAATCTCAACTAAGAGGATTGGAAGACCCATGGAAAACCCCACCAACCAAAAAGCGGAAGCACGCCTGAAAAAAAATACGCGAGCATCTGGATCGGTGCAAAAGCGGTGCGCCACCCTGGCCTTCGGTGAAAGCACTTTCGGCAGACCGGGATTGCTCCTAGCGATGGCCTCCAACCTAATAGCAAAAAGGAACGTATTCGCAATGGCCTCCAACCTAGTAGCTTCTTGTTCTTAGTAGCGTCCTTGCTCCTAGTAGTAAGGTCAGGAGCCCCTAGTAGCGAACATTGTTGCTAGTAGTATTGGCCTCCAACCTAGCGATGGCCTCCAGGTCTCTGGCATGTTGGTGGAAGATTCCACAGGCGCGATCGATCCAGGTCGGTGTGGTGGATTCTGGCGAGACCAGAGCCTCTGAAAACAAAGAATCCATGTCGCCTAGAGATCGGGGGTGGTCGAAAGATGTTCCAAGGGTCAATGTACGTAACTTTCCTGCATGAATTGTTGAGGTGAGTGATGGTGTTCAAAGGCTTTTTTTGTTCTATACACATGTGTATTTGGGTGGGTGGATCTTGCTTCATTGTCCCATGTCGTCTCATTCAGGGGGAAGTCCTCACTGGGTTTGATTAGATGATAGATGTCTTGTTTACTGCATTGCATTGCTCTATATGTTGGTTGCTCTAAGCGACAAGACATTTGGATCCTTTGCAGGATGGCTTTGCCAGCTGCACCTGCGCTAGGTAAATGGCGGGCCTTCCCCACACAAAGAAGGCCGCAATTTTTGACATAAGGGCGAGCCTGGCATCAACTCTGAAGCTTGGAGAATCATTTATTAGCATTTATCAGCCATGTCTTTTTCCTCCTGCTTAGGTGGATGTAGGTGGTCAGGTTGGCCGCAGCCACAAGGCCCTCAAAGATGACATGCTGTCCACAGAGTCCATCACTAGTAGGTTGGAGGCCATTACTAGTAGCAAGAAGCTACTAGGAATAAGGGCATCGCTACTAGGAGCAAGTAGCTACTAAGAACAAGAAGCTACTAGGTTGGAGTCCATCGCCATCACCAGCAGTTCCATGTCAGGATCCAAGGAGGAGCCCCTGGACCTGCCGTCCAGATCCACCCCCGCACAACCAGTAGTCGCTGAGAAGATCGTTCCAAGAGTTCGATCAGGTTTTCTGGTCCAAATAACCTTCAGTAGCTTCTTGTTCTTAGTAGCGTCCTTGCTCCTAGTAGCGATGCCCTTGTTCCTAGTAGCTTCTTGCTACTACCTTTAGTAAGACAATATATACGTTCGGAGTTCAACCCCTTTACAATCCATGGGTCAGGAATCCTGGAAAATTGATGCCTCTGCTCGACAACCTTGAATCTAACCACCTAACTTGTCATCAGCGAATCTGTCAGCACCTTAAGTTCAGACTTAGAAGACCCCGCCATGTCGTGTTTTTCATCTGTGATCGTCAGGTGCCCGAGCACTGATGAAGCCCGAGGACTGCGCCGTTTCGCCGAAAATCAGACGAAACCTGCGGAAACCAGGACCATTCCGTCCTGGGGTGTCCTGTGGAAGCCCACATATGTCGTGTAGGGTGGTCTAGGTCAGCCAATGATGTTACAGTAGATGGCCTTTGTAGGCTTTTTGTTTGCTAACCTACTATGTCAGGTGGATGCAAACCAAAGAGGCCTTCTCATCCATGTCGGCCAGCCGCTTCGGAGAAGCGAAAGGAGCCATGTTCTACGTCTTGAGTATATCGAAGGAACCCCGAATCCAGGATCAGGATTCTCTTCTCCCCCCTTTGAAAGATACGAACGAAGACTTACAAGGAAGCCCTCCTCGTCCCATCGATGTTCTACAAAGAAAGAAGAACTCTCTGTTTACTGCCAAGCTGCCCGGAGTTTTAAGCCTATCAGATTGTCAGCTGCTTCCTGTCGGGCTCACCAATGGACCACCCTACTCTACTCATAGGTCCCCAAAAAAATTGTCCAAACAGGAAGCGCTAGGTATCTAGATATCTACCCAATCTCTTCGTGGCCTTTCGGAGTGACGATTCCACTCGTTTTGAGGACCTGGGCGCCTTCACCGGCTTGAGCGTGTGCAATGCCGCCCAGCAGTGAAGACTGAAGACTCCAAAGATGTGAACCGCACGTGAGCATACTGGTCAGAAGACTATACCCAAGAAGTTCAATGACTATTTTTGGCACCACCGAAGTAAAGGAAATTCCTTTTCGAATCACCTAGCTCCCAGGGTGCATATATATATATATATATATTATGTCCACATTGACTCTATCCTATTACCTGCAACAGTTGGTAAACAATCATGACGATTTTGGCAACAGGCCACTCACCATCCTCGTCCATTGTTACTGGTACTGTTTTTAATGCGCGCTCTGACGGTCAGCGGATTGTTTACTTTGGTCTTTGGCATCAGGGGATGGTGGGTCGGAAGTTGGAAAGCTTGAGGTGGGAGTGGCAAAAGCGACTTCTTAGAAGTGTTGTCGGGAGATAGTGTGCTGCTTCCCCTTGTTCGTACTACACTTGGCTGTCACTCTGGTGCTTTGAGCGCTCCAAGCTGAACACTTCGGTGAAACCCGCGTGGTAGCGTGGCAGTGTGCCCATTGAATGAGACGGCGAACGGGACGAACGGGACGAACGGCTCAGGTGGAACAGTGTCAACGTTTCGTTTTCCCTCAGAGCTTGACGACCCTAGGCCTGGTGCGAGTTGTCGTGGTTTGAGTGCTTTGAGTCTCAGGAGATTTCCAAGCAGCTTCCCACTCTAGGACTCGAGGGCTTCAAAGAGATTTCGTGATTTCAAGAGTCACAAATGTGTTCTTCCTTTTTCACCTGTTTGACAGGCCGGGCCTTGCTGGAGATCTACGACGAGGTGGGTTGACCCACACAGAAACAAAGCCAGGGTTATACCATCCCACCCCTCAGAGCCCTTCCACTTCGTGGGGTACCAGGGTAGTGGTTTTCACACACCCAAAACAGCTGAAGCATGCTAAGAACAAATCCGAAGATTCTTATCTTCTGAGTCTCTGGGAATTGAAAGATCCTGAAGTGGCATTTCTTGATACAAAGCAGAAAGAGAACGCAACGCAACTCCCTCACGCCGTCAACCTTGATCGCTCTTTGAGTCTTTTAGACCTGACCCTTCCACATGACTTCCCTTCCAACAGACCCCACACCTGCAATTCTCCCTTCCCGTGCCACTAACCCCACCAAAATCATTTCGAACAACGCGTCCCCCTTCGAAGTCTTTCTTCCTTCGCCACCGCCCTGGGAAAACGCAAGGTTCGAGTGGGGTCCAGACCCGTCCAGGTGGAAGTCTCAGAGGGTCGTTTGAAGGTCTGCGAGGCCGTGGAGGTGTCGCTGGAGAACCAGGCGCTTCATGGTGCGGAGTGGCCGATTCAAGCGTGCCAAGAAAAGCACGGTTTGTATTGGAACAACTTCGGCTTGAAGTGTGGATCGCTGTGGTTCCCTTTGCTAGTCAGGCTGTTATTTTAGGGCCAAAGGCGATTGAACTGCCATGCCTTCGGATTTCGTGGTGGGGTGGGTGCCTTTCATCCACGTTTCCACTGTGCCCAGATTCTGTGCATCACGTGGGATTCTTCTCCGGTCAATGACATGGTGGCGGATTCGGTCGGGCGCCCTAAACTGAGCCTTCAGGCTCTTGAGGACTTGAGGACTCCAAGCTTTTTGTTACATATTCTGAAGCTGAGCGGAAAGGTTTGGTTATTGAAGGATCTCGACGTGTTTAGATGGTATTTGGTTGCGCGTCATGAGAAAGAAATCATGTTTCGTTCTGCATCCCAACGCCATGCAAGGTCGCGTTCACGGCCATCGAGATCACGCGAAGCCCCACGATGCTCACAGCCCGGAGCACCCAAAGAGGAACGAGGGAATTCGGCCGTTGCGGCGAGATCTCGATGTATGTGTCCTTCCTCCTAGTAGCCTGGCGTCCTTGCTCCTAGTAGCGATGCCAGGAGCCCCTAGTGGCTTCTTGTTCCTTGTAGTAAGTGAGTGTTCTTTTCTTTTTTCCTTTTTCGGCATTGGTTCCAGCTTTCAGTTGATGAATGGTCCAAAACAGCCCTGATGATGAAGGATTTAAGGACCCGCGCCATGGAAGAAGTTCCAAATGAGAACTTCATGCCTGTGCATTGTGAACAAGTTCAAGTCTTTTGTCGGGGCATCTCCTTCAGGATGGGAGGCCAGAAGGTCTAGACGGTGTGCTGCAATGTGCTGTGTGCAACTTAAGCAAATTCTGTCTCCCCGGAGCCCCTAGTAGCGTCCTTGCTCCCTTCAAATTCTGTCTCTAAGGCTTTGCAGGGAGATGTGAAGAAAGAAGAGGATCGGATCTTCCAGGCCGCTGTTCGACGTCTGCCACGCGCCGATCTTTCTTTCTTAAGCCCACTCCTACTTAATTAGGCAATTACGTAAGGGAGCAAGCTCCTAGCTACTTAAGCTACATGTGGACGCAGGATAGCTCACGCTCGCACCAATGGTTTGGTTCCTAGAAATTGAGAGGAAACTTTCAAGAAACCGTTTCCTTGCATATAATGGCTTCAACCGTTAATATACTGATTTCTCGCGCTTGAGGCCAAACCCTGACACAGTGTAACACTCTCTTGCCCATGGATAGAATCTAACCAGGCACCAAAAGCATCGGAATCCCTTCAGAAAGGCTTTGGAGTCTTGTAGTTCAATGTTGTTCACATATTTGTGAAGCATGTGTAGAAGTGCCTGTCCCGGTGATTGGCATTCATTCTTGTTATGGAGACGTTGCAAATCTGACCGCTCACCTGAGCATGTTCGATTCGGTGCGGCGATCAGCCACAGCAATCCTCACAGATATACCTGGCTTGGCGCTTTGCGGGGGCTGCTGTTATTTCCGAATTCAGTGAATCCCCGAACCCGGAGAACATGTTCTAATCTTGCCCGATTCCAGCAAATCCGAACCTATAGCCAAAGCTTGTTGTCGTGAAGGTGTGATTGAGGCGTCACACTGCTAGGTCCTGTGCACCTACATGCAGCAGGAATTTGGTCGTCTGAAGATAGATGTCTGGTGCCAAGAGAGTCCAGTTCCAGAGTTCAACGGAGCGAGCCAGCAAATCTGCCCATTATAGGACCGGATAACCCCACATGTGAACAACTTCGAAAGATTGAGGCTGCAGGGGTAAAGTGCGGAAGAGTGAGCATGGGGAAGAGACAGGCGAGACAGATATAAGGCGTGAGGGTCTCTGTGTGTACGTGAGGTGTGTGTTTGTGTGTATGTGCTTGTTCGTCAGTGTGTATCAGTGTGTGGGTGGATGTATGCTGCTTGGCGCTTGTGTGCGTGTAGGTGTTGGGGGGTACTACAGTAGGTATGCGTGCATGTAGGAATGTTCGACAGTGTGCGCCTGGAGCATGTGTCTAACAGCAGGTGGCCGGAAGACATCATGGCATCAAGGTCCATCCCGGAGATGCAACTGCGACCGGCAAAGCGCGATTTGACAACATCCCACAGCCACACCTGCCACGCAACTGCTACCGGCAGAGCGCGATTTGATAGCATCCCACAGCCACACCTGTCACGCTACTGCTACCGGCTGAGCGCGATTTGACAGCATCCCACAGCCACACCTGCCACGCAACTGCTACCGGCGGAGCGCGATTTGACAGCAGCAAGTGCCGCACACAGCACGCAAATGCTACTGGCAGAGCGGCGGTGCCCAGACGACGCCAGGGCGTACACCCGACCCCTTGGCAAGCAGCAACTGCCGCACACAGCACGCAAATGCCACCGGCAGAGCGGCGGTGCCCAGACGACGCCAGGGCGTACATCCGACCCCTTGGCCAGCAGCAAGCGCCGCAGACAGCACGCAATGCCACCGGCAGAGCGGCGGTGCCCAGACGACACCAGGGCGACGCCAGGGCGTACATCCGACCCCTTGGCAAGCAGCAACTGCCGCACACAGCACGCAAATGCTACCGGCAGAACGGCGGTGACCAGACGACGCCAGGGCGTACATCCGACCCCTTGGCAAGCAGCAAGGGCGGCACACAGCGGCGGTTGTGTGTGAGATCTATGTGAGGTTGTGTGTGAGAGGTTGTATTGTGATGTTGTGTTGCGTGATGTGTGTGAGAAGTTGTGTGTGTGAGATGATGTGTTGGAGAGGTTGTTTGCGAGAGGTTGTATTGTGATGTTGTGTTGTGAGATGTGTGTGAGAAGTTGTGTGTGAGATGGTGTGTTTTGGAGAGGTTCTGTTCGTTGTGTGTGAGATGATGTGAGGTTGTGTGTCCGAGGTTGTCTTGTGATGTTGTGTTGTGTGAGAGGTTCTGTTAGTTGTGTGTGAGATGTTGTGTGTGAGATGATGTCTTGTTGTGTGTGAGATGTTGTGTGTGACATGTTGTGAGATTGTATGTGAGATGTTGTGTAGGAGGGTTGTGTGTGAGATGTTGTGTTGGAGGGTTGTGTGTGGAGTGGAGGGAAGGAAGGAAGGAAGGAAGGAGGTGCAGCAAAAAGAACAAGAACCCCACACAACAATGTGGGGAATTATTCTTTCTTTAACAAAAGGAAAACTTAGAGTAGAGTCGTTGTCTCATCTAATTTAATGCTCTTTCACGTTTGCTTTTCTTAAGTTCCGTGGGCTCGGGAAAGCTTCGTGGGAAGCTTTGATGCATTGAGTCTTTTCGCCCGATTAATTTTCTGCTGAGGACTCCACGCAGCTCGTCTCCTTCGAGGCAACGAGAAAGCTGCCTGGCATACCCCAGACGCGATCAATGGAAATGGGACACATAGACATATACATACGCCATGGAGCGTTTGGGTGGTGAAGGATTGTTAAAGGAAAAATCCTGCAGTGAAAAGCAAGATCACGACTGCAAGCAGCACCCATCCACGCACAAGTTTTTATCAGGCGGGAATCCCGCATGACTGCAGGTGGATGGCCAGGCGGTGTTGGTGAATTTCCCACTGAGACAGGTTCAAGCTCCCAACGAGGCGAGGGCTGGGCATAGCTGGGCAGGGCGGAGGCTTTGATGGGAGCCGACCCCGACAGTCGATGGCCTTTCGTGTGAAAGTGGATCACCTGCAAAAGCTTTTCTTGAGGCAATTGGGGTACATTCAAGTGCAACTGCTCGAAAAAGCTTCACGTTTACTTTGTCAACAAGATTGAAAGGTCATTGAAACAATCATAAAACTTCACTCCTAAAAGGGTTGGACCCAAAAAACCCTGAACTCCACCAATACTCGGTTAAATTGATTGACTTAGGTTTCGACATGAATTTGCTTCGAATCTGTGCAAAATCTTGGAGAAGCCAGCTTTCAGGCACTTCGAGAGCGAGTGACAAAGGCCCTGAGGCGCTGTGAACGAGCCCTGAGACCTATCCAGGCTGTGTGAAAAGAGCTGAGCGCGTACTTCGGCAAATGACCCTTGTATGACAATGGCCTTGAAATCCACAAGCTACTTCTCGGTTCTTGTCAACTCTCATGACACACGCATACCCCGGCTCGAAAGCACCACTGTTGACACGTCTCGCACAAATGCGTTAATAAAAAGGCTGTCGCACAGAAACGCATTTTCTTCGAATTCAAAGGCATCTCCAAAGGTTGGTTTGTCGTCGCGCCACGATTGCCGTGAGCAAGGCAAGAAATTTCAATGTCCATTTTATTGCTTTTAGATATGTTTGTATCCTTCATCAGCCTAAGAATTAAAATATCTTTTATATCCAAAAATTCATTATATAATATAGATTGATTTATTTATATATTTTAAATATTATATTAAACAGTATCTCTATTATATATATTTTTTTATTTTTGTGATATATATATATATAATATGGGTTGATTTTAATTTTGAATGGAATTATATTTAATTTAATTTAAAAAAAATATATATGTTATTTAATTAGGGAAGGATTATTATTTTTATGGGTATTTAATTATTATTGTTTTATATATTTATATTTAATAGATGTAATTAAGCGTTATTGCTAGTTTAGATTCGTGTAGTTATTTCTTTCGGGTTTCTTCGATTATGACGAGTCGGAATCGCGGTTTGTGAGATATGGGAAGGATTTTCTTCTTTTCTGGATATTTTAAGCTGTATTACCGATAGACGATATTGAGTTGGTAAGTCCGGAAGATATGTTTTGCGGCATTTTTAATTAATAGTTGCATTGAACGGTAAGGTTTGTAAAGGCGGTGGGTGAGGAAGGGGGAGTAAATATTCGTGAATAACGTCTGAAAGTATTTAACTAGTCGAGCAAGCAAGTTCTTGGTTTTGTGAAATGGGAGCACCTGTGGGATTAAACATTTGGATACGATGATGTTGTTTGGGATACAGTGTTCTGATACGTTTGTACCATTTATGCATCTGATTGCGAAGGATAAATGGCACACTTTCCTCAAGGAATGTTGTTAATCTATTTTTACGATTTAGGCGATTTTGTTTACGAATTAGTTTGTGAAGCTTAGCAAACTTGATGATATGGGTCTATTTCGTAAACACAGCCGTTAGGGTGCAAGGCTGAGATCCCATGAGCTGACGGCGAGCAAACCCCATTTGTGCGCTTAAGGATCGTACCTGTGGACAGGGTGGGCGGGCAATAGGTTTAGTGGCAAAATGAAGGACACAAAGGTTACGAATCTTCTATTCTATTGTTATGCAGGTGTCCAGTGCATTGGATTCAATCGGAACGGTCACCTGATGGAACAATTTGTGCATCTTGTGTTTAAACGTGTTTAAACAGTTGCCAATTCTCGTTCTGCAGCTTCAAATCCTACCTGAATTGTTGACGGTCGATGTGAGCCTGTTTGGAGGAGGTATAAACCATCTTGGCAGGGAAATGATTAACGGATGATGTTGTGGCCCCTCATTGGGTATAGACCGTTTGAATCTGGTGAGAACCTTGGCATGGTGTTTCCTGCCCAGATGTTGATGTGTGCTGAGGAACATGAAGTTAATCCTAGATGAATGCGTACCGTGTTGGAAGGTGGGATTCCATTTGACTCGACAGTGGGATGCACAAAGATCAAGTTCATGAACTAATCTTTAAAAGTCATGTTTATCTGTCTGAGCAGCCAGACTGTATTTGGCATCTCCGGATTCGATGGCTGGTGGTGCAATATTCAGCCGGGTATTGTAGTTGCCTGCAATCAAGAACATGTGGTTCTTGGGAACATGTTTGATGGCCTCTTGGAGGAGGACTTCCAAACCACATTACGAGGCTTGCTGGTGTTCCATGCCACTTGATATATGTTGAAGATATCATGTACTCTAGTTAGGTGTAGTCTGATGTGTTGCAGGCGGCCTGGAATCACATCTGCAAATGAGAGTTGATCAGGTCGAAGGAGCGTGGTCCGAACCATGCATAGAATGGAAGCCCGTCCTGCGGAACTATGGATCATGTACCAACCAGGCGGAATCCATCTTCGATTTAGATTCCAGCCAATCTCTTGTACCAGAACCAGCGTATACGGCTGGGAGGAACACAAGAGCCATTCATCCAGCTGCAGGCTCTGAGATGCATTCCAACTGAAGATTTGTAAAGCCTCAGGTGTCGAATGCATAGACGGCCCAACAGAGGGCTTGACTGCAGGTCGATCTGGAAGTTCAGGCATGATCTGTTGCTTCAACCGGAAGGGGACCATCGAGGGCCAGAGTTCTTTGCCTTTGTATTAGGCACAGCCGTGGAGCAGTGATCTTTTGCTACGAAAACTTCTCTTGATGCATTTGCATCTTGATGGGTTTAGAATATGGCCGGAGCCAACACACGCCCATACCTTGTTGATTTTCGTGCCAACCTAATTCTGCTTGGAGGTAACAACTTTGGTACTCTAATCACAAGACAAGGAGCCTGTGACAACCCTCACGCCAAATATGGAGGAAGATGCACAGCTGGAATTTGAAACACTCCCAATCATCAAGGCTCTGGCCCCAAACGGATTCCCTGCCCTGATTTGGAAGCAGTTCGCACCACAACTCACCCCAATCATACATACATGCATTCGTCAAGCTGGACCTCTGACCCATGCATCCCACCCACTAGATGGTCGATAGGCTGTAGGTGCAAATCAAATTAGGCTCCCAACAAACCTGAAGCACTTAGACCAATCTGTCTTCAGCATCCAATAAACAAGATCATGTCCGGCATCCATGCCGCCTCATGTAATCTCACATCACTGCCGTGCAGTGAAAGAGATGTGGAAAAGGCCTCTGACATAATCAGCAGATCCATGATCTTGCGACCACTCCAGGTTTTCGACGTGTCTGCACCTGCAGCACCTTGTGCATTCGTGGTTGGCCCCTCATAAGTATTGCATCTCCCATAAGGAATTGGTTGGAATGTTCCAAGCTTCAGGCGGCATTAAACAGGGAGATGGGGATCATCACCTCACCGAGTGAGGGCCTTGCTGCTTTGCACGACCTGTCATTCTTGCATTAAGGTGTTCCGTGCATATAGAAGAGCGTGGCTCTCACTCGCATGGTTGGTCGAGCGCTGAATCCGTTTCTCCGCCGATGGACCTGCCAGATACAAGCATGACGATCCCTTTCGTGAACAAAACCTCATACCTCGGCACCATTGTGAGTTATAGAGTCTGCCCACTGTGCTGTATGGAGCAGTTTGTACTGCAAATATTCCATGCTCAATCAAGTTGGACTGCGAGGTTGCCAGTTCTGATCTTCTAGCTGCACTTGCGATGTGTGACGGGGTACAACAATATGGTGGGCATTGATTTTCTGTGCATTGGCGACTTCCTAGTGCAACTCTGGTACACGGAGCAATCTGTAGTGGAAGCTGGAACTGAAAACTGGCGACTTTCTAGTCCAACTCTAGCACCCGGATCAATCTGCAGAGCATGAAGCTGAGAACTGGCGACTTTCTAGTGCAACTTTAGTCCTCATTTTTTCCTTTTTAAGGTGCATACGTGCAGCACTTTGTGAACCTTCATGTGCAGAGCTAGCGGACGCACGGCAGCTTTCACAAGTCTAGCTCTGCAGAAACAACAATCACGAGGCGGTCTTGGGTCAAGGTCGGATCACGTTGGAATCTTGTGGTTGATTTTTTCACGTGTCTCTTCAAGTGGAGATTTCGTGGCAGGCGCAGCACTTTGTGAAAATCCAGGTGCAGATTTCGTGGCAGGTTCAGCACTTTGTGAACACTAATGTGCAGATTTAGTGGCAGCTGCAGCATCCATGTGTATGGTGCGTGCCCCAAGGATCAGAAGCTCACAACAGCGTTTTTGTTCCACAACGTGCTGTTTTGTTCCTGCCATGAAATCTGCACTTCAAGAAACAAGTGAAAACTGTAACCACAATAGAGGGACGATTCGAACAAGAACCGACCATGTCCGAGACTGTCTCGCAACCGTCCTGCCGCAGAGCTAGACTTGCCAGTCGGAAGCAACTGGTTCTGTTGCCCCTGTTCAGCTTGCAGCTCGACAGATTGCTCCGCATACTGGATTTGCATTGGAAAGACGGCAGTTCTGAGCTTCCAGCTTCACCAATTCCTTCGCCCACTGAAGTTGCACTGGGGGTCACAAAAGTGTTGTGCCTGCCAGGAAATCTGCACAAGGAGGTGCCCAAAGTGCTGCACCTGCTACGAGCAGGAGTGGCCCAGACATTGAGCTGTTGAAATTAGAGTGGGTGTATGAGCGGTGTCTGGTGATTGGTATATGATGAGCAGTGTGTGTTTGATGAGTGGTGCATGATGAGTTGTTCATGATGAGCGGTGTGTGATAAGTGGTGTATGATGGGTGGTGTATTTTTGGGTTCGCTATCTCCACAATGCATTTTGTCTTGCACCTGCCAGGACATCTGCACATGGAGGTTCACAAAGCACTGAATCTGCCACGAAAAATGCACATGGAGAATCAGAAAGTGCTGCACCTGCCACAACATCTGCACACGGAGGTTCACAAGGTGCTATACCTGCCACGAAATCTGCACATGGAGTTTCACAAAGTGCTGCACCTGCCACCAAATCTGCACATTGAGGTGCACAAAAGCGTTGATGCAAGTTCACAAAAGTGCTATGCCAAATGAAGGGACGATTCCGGAGCATAACCCGAAAATGATCCGAGAATGATCCGAGACCGTCTCGCAACCATCGTTCCGCAGACCTTGACTTTCCAGCTTCCGAGCCAGCTTGTTTCCATTAAAATACAGTATTCGTGCCTTGGCTATCTCTCCGCAACACATTTTGTCTTGCGTCTGCCAGGACATCTGCACATGGAGATTCACAAAGTGCTAAATCTGCCACGAAATATGTACATGGAGAATCAGAAAGTGCTGCACCTACCACGACAGCACATGGAGGTTCACAAAGTGCTACACCTCACGAAATCTGCACATGGAAAACCACAAAGTGCTGCACCTGCCACCAAATCTGCAATGGAGGTTCACAAAAGTGTTGTGTC